TTTTAATAAAATCAATATGTGCATAAATAATATACTTTTAAATAAAAAACTTACTAAATATAAAGTGATTGAAAACATAATTTGTGGTGAAATACTATACCGGCTTTATTCTCTCTTATTGCTTCGCGGCTTTTATGGCTTGGCGTGGTTTTCTTTATCCTATTTTTCCCTTTTAAGGAAATGAATTTGCTTCCCAAGCTTCACTGCGATTTTTCTAAACATGATTACTGGGAATCTTTTTTTGCTTCATGTAAAACAACGTTTGAATGGTATGGCGACTACATACAGTTAAGCGATATAGTTAGTAAATATGTAAAAAAGTCGGACAAAATATTGATGGTTGGATGTGGCAATTCAGATCTGAGTCGCATGATATATGACATGAATGCTTGCCATGATATTCTTAGTATTGATGCAAATGAAACAGTTATTGCTCAAATGATAGACAAACACAATAGCAATGGTCAAAGACCAGGGTTGATATACAAATGCTTGGATGTGCTAAATCTCCATGGCTATATTGATGCAAGCATTAGCTTGTCTAAAGAGGGCAGATCACATTTTTCTTGTGTTATTGATAAAGGGACTCTTGATGCCTTGCATACACATGAGGGTAGCGAAGAAACTGTTGAAATGATGTTTCAACAAATAGATTATGCTCTACAATTGTCTGGACGTTATATAGTTATAACGCTAGCACAAGCTCATATTTTGCAGAGCATTTGTGCTTATTTCATTGAAAGGTAACTTTGTACATATTGGCCACTTCAATCGGGAACTCTAATTACTTTTATTATATGACCATTATTAGGAAACCGGAATGGGTTGTACAAATTCATCAAATAACTTCCAATTCTGACCAGGAATCTCCCCGTGCTTCATTTCCTCTACCGGTGTTTGCTTTTGTCTTTGTAAAACTTCGGCGTTCACCAGATCATCTCCCTCGTTTATCCATTATGCCTCTTGCTCAAAAGCAGCAAATTAATATGTCTTGGGTAGTCAATCCTACCGAATTGAGCGCGCAAATTAAAGAATGGATAAAAATGGAACAAGAACTTTGTCTTCTTAGACACGAACTCGTGTAAGCTATAAAAGCTCATTATTGTGAAAATAATTCTTCTTAAATGTTACTTAAGCTTAATAATTTGGCATTATTTTATGCATGTTTAACTAAATTTAGCTTTCATTTTTTGGGTCATTATAGATCTGGTAAACAGAACGAGTTTCACTTCCTATGTCCAGACAATGATTTCGTTGTCTTTCAATGCCGTTATGTAGCAATTAACACTTCAATCCGCTCGAAGGTCGTAGCCCCTTCTGCCGTTTATCTTGTACCATTTGGAGATCACAAGTAAATATGTCAGTTAACTAAATACTTATCATTATTTTTACTTAGTCTTAAATATTAATTTTACATCAATTATAATTTGTTTGTTCAAATGCATCAGCAACATTGCCTCATAAGTCAGCCTTTAAAGCAAAGAGTAATACTGATTTTACATAAAATCAGTAAGCAGTTTGGTTCCGGCAAGTTATATCTTTGTAAAGCCTCTGGCCGGCATGATACGCAATATTAAAATGAATTACTTGATGGCAGTGACGCCACGATGAACCAGGACAGAGATTCGTAATGATTTCTCATTTCTTATGTAATTAATTTTAATATTGTTCACGTAAAATCATTAGGAAAGAGCTCTTTTGCGTCAGAATTCTTATGCTAATTAAAAATTTTGATAAAATTCAAAAAGGATGCAATATAGAGCATAAAAACTAAATAGAAGTTGTTTGGCCTTGTTTTCGCAACTTGGACATATTGGTAGGAAGACTTAGCGGAACGCACCTAGCACAGAGTCCATTTTATGCATGATAATTTCCAGAGTCGGACTGTGGTGGTGGTACAATACCAGACGTTTCGCCGGCATCGTAGTTGGCATCGTCAGCGAGTCTTGCCATTCTTAGCACCACACTACAACTCGTCGAAGTGACAATTGAAGCCGATCCTTTAACCAAAAAATCGAGTAGCACAGATGGGGTGGCAAGGGTCGAGTGAAATACTTGAACCAGGGACACAGCAGACGGATTCTACGGAGCAAGAGGGAGACTCAAATAAGACCTATGGAAGGAGGATTGTGTAACAATATGGCATACTGATCGACATTTTCAGCACAAGGGTGAAGGGAGGTGAGAAGGATGAGAAAGCCAGCATGGAGTATGGAGAGTTCTCATGAAAGTCTCTTAAAAGGGCACACTATACCTCATTTAGAAAAGCAAGTAAGAATTGTGATAGTGAAGTCGTGATACGAGGATATATTTGGTGATTAGCCCAAAGAGGAAGGCAAGATACCACGATTGCTTAGAAGACACTTGGTCAAAGGATCGGCTTCACTTGTCGCTTTGACGAATTTTAGTGTGGTGCTAAGAATAACAAGACTCACTGGCGATGCCGGCGAAACGTCTGGGAATCTACCACGTCAACT